TCAAAAATTAAGTTTTGATATATTTACAGTAGGAAATTTACAAAAATATCTTCATGGAACATGATCTTTACTTAATATCCTAATGATTTTTAGCATAAAAGAAAAATCAATAATTTTGACCCATACAATGTATTTTTGGCTATTGCTACAAATATACCCCAGCGACTTAAGACTGGTTTTGTGGTCTAGGGTCACAAATAATAATTAGTATCAACTGGCTAATTAAAGAAAATTGTATTCAGTCTACTCACGCTTATGTGGTTTCAAATCAGTGTGACTTTTTTGCATCAGTGAAATCACTTTTGTCCATACAACAGCAGTTCACCGTCACTACGTCTGTTGTCCAGAAAAATTCAACATAACAAACGAAAACAACATTAAACGATGGTAGAAATGTAAATTAATTTAGTTGGTTAAACTATTCCTTTATTAAACACTATATGAAAATCATAAGTTGACACTGAATATTTGAGAAATGTTTTCAAATCTTTGATGCTATATCTGAAATTAGATATTTTAAAATGTTTTTTTTAATCACATTTGTTATCCATAAAAATGTAAACAATATTAAACAAAAACAGAAATGTAATTGTTGAATTAAGTATGCCTTAATTAAACACTATATGAAAATCATAAATTGACACTGAATATTTGAGAAATATTTTTTAAATCTTTCATGTGATGCCACATTGTATCTGAAATTTAGATATGTTGAATTTTTTTTTTTAAATAATGTCTGTTGTCTAAAAAAAAAAATACAACATACAAAATGTAAGCAATATTAAATAATGACAGAAATGTAATTGTTCAGTTAACTATTCCTTAAATAAACACTACATGAAAATCATAAATTGACATTGGAAATTGTGATGCCATTTCTGAAATTTGATATTTTGAAATGTATTTTTTAAAATCATGCCTGTTGTCCAGAAAAAAAATCAACATGTAAACAATGGCAGAATTTTTTTTTTTTTAATTATTCCTTAATTAAAAATATATACAAATTATAAATTGACACTGAAATAATTTTTTCAAATCTTTTGTGATCTGTTTTTTAAAATCACGTCTGTTGTCCAAAAAAAGAATTCAATGTAAACAACAAGAGGGGCAGAAAACAATGACAGTAATCAATTTCATTGTTGAGTTAACGATTGCTTAAACACGTATAAATTAATATTTGAAATTGGATATCTGAAATAACTAAAATTAGATATTTTGAAAAGTATTTTTTTATCTTAAATTTTGACTTAACTTAATAAGTCCAGACTTAACTGGACAAGTCCAGAAAATGTCTAGAAAGAAAAACTAGTAATAATAATAATAATAATTAAGTATACATGTCAGTTGCCAACAGTTGCAACATTTGTATACATGTAAATAAAATATTTATTGGTAAAATACTCTTGTTATACATACGATAACAAGGTTTCTGAGAACATTAACAACACTAAATATATCCGTCCAAAACCTATGTGACCTCTTTGGTCTCTAAGCAATAAGTAATAACAAGCCATCTGCTTGACATCCTCTCAGACAGATCTTCAACAGATCGCTGTCATTCACTGGGATAAAGGAGAAGAATACAGCATCTAATTTAGAGAAAATATATAACACTCGAAGAGTGCCTATGAAGTGAATGAAAATTGTAATAATGGAATCAAAAGGTGAACTGATGGTCCTTCCAAGGTTAAGAGGGAATCCTAACATACAACATCACATGGCACTTCAGCACAACCACATATAGTGGAGTTGTGTACTAAAGCAGACTGTAATTACTTTAGATTTGGTAGTTTGGTAAATGGACCCACCCTGAGTGCATCTTTTAGCAATAAAAGCCTTCTTTATCAGCCTTGGACAGACAGAATGACTATTTTCAGAGGAAGTGTGCTTAAAAAGAAAGTGGCTAGGGACTGTGCTGGAAAACTAAACACAGCCCAAATAAAGTGTCTGTGTGAATTCATGTTTGGATGAGCAAGAACCCAGCATTTTGATAAACCCACAATGTAACGTTGGGGTTTTGTCTAAATAAACATGCATAATTTAAATAGATCAGTTCTTAATGATACACTATGAAAAGTCCACAAACCACAATGTGAATTTCCAAATCCATGGGTATATAAATAAAGTGTTATTCCTATCACAATAAAACAGATTGAGATAAATAGATATGTGTCTCATGACTATACCAAATATTAATTAGTGGCAGCTGACACTACACAACAAAATATTTCTAAAAGTTGCACCGAAATACAACTGCGTATAAAATATGGATACAAAAACATGAATAATTCTGAGGGATTTACCTCTTGAATATTCTATAAAAAATTTTTTTAAAAAAGGTGCCCAAATAACTGAACGATTAGCAAAGTGTAACCTCATATTTTTCCGTTGGTATAAAAAGGCCAAACAAGCCATTTCACAAAAATAAATAAATAAATTATTGTCTCCTCCATCCTTGGCCTTCATGTATACTCTTGTACTTGATGCTAGAAAAATTATTTTAAATTTGTAGGCTTCACAAGCAATAGCTGCATTTTGTTTATATATAGATGCACACATTTAAATGTATTTTTTTATGAAAATCTACAATGAAAGTAATACAAATCTTTTTGAACTATATTTTACATGCACTCGTATTTCCCTTAGCATGGTGGTTAAGCACACAGAGACTGTTCAGTTGATCTTTTGACATTCTTTGGGAACAATGCTGAAGGACTGTTGCTATTCTTGTAAGGCGAAGCTTTGTAGAGGCTTTGAACAGTATTGTTGAATAATGGTCTGAAACGACTGATGTCTTAAGTTTGTTTACATCCATTCAGACCGAGACGATTCAGACTGTCCTCGAAGAGAAAAAAATGAAACATCGTTTTTATGGACTGAACAGGCAATGTTTGGGTTTGAGACGCAATAGCGACCTAAACATAAAGCAGCATATGGACTTGAATTATTGGCTAAATGATCCTTATCAAGACACAACTTTTCTTCTAACAGACATATGAGTAGCAAAATACTGCAGTTACATCAGAAAATAGCAATGTGTGTTTAATAGGCAACAAGGTCTGGATGTTTTGTATAGAATATATCAGCGGCTCATGTCTGCTTGCTCTGTTTCAAAAAACATGACATCTAGCATCTCTAACTACTGCTGTGTAACAACTGGACCGTGTCTTTTTTTGATTTGTCAAATCAAAGAAAATAATGTGCAAGAACATGTAACATTCCTCTAGAGGTCTTCATTTTTTCTTTTTTAATAAAAAATATAATATACTAGTTCTGATTACTTCTAAAGCCACAAGCAAATGACTGATTTACTCCGGCTAGTTAAAGTAACAGATATTGGCATGGGCTTTATGCTGAATTCCATCCCGAGTGAAACCAGCTGTAGACAGCTTAACGTAAGGATCTTCTAACTTCAGGTTGATCTGGCACAGTTTCATTTCATAATAACAACCATATATTATGGTTTTGACAAATATTATAGATTATTTAAACAGTTGTTTAGGCTTAGATGTTATGGTAATACCACATGACATATTGTAATATTTAAAATGTAGTATGTAAATAAAATGAATTAGTGACCGAAACAAATTAGTATCTAAATATTTTTAATTAGACTTTTTATAAATTTAAAGAAAAATATAATTTAAAATATTGGTGTATATATATATATATATATATTCAGCCAATTTTACTCAAATGAAGGGCAGAAGACGACAGAAGGCAAGTTCACATACTAACTCGCTTTTATTAATACAGAACTGCATGCTACAGAGACTGTACAGCATTAACATTTATTCATTACAAAACGTGGTTTTTGGGAACCATTTCAAATAATGGAAAACAAAACGGAAAACAAAAAGAAAAGAAAAAAAGAAAGAAAGAAATAAAAACAAACCAAAAGAAACATATAAGAGCATAAAAGAGAACAGGAACATCACAGCTGTTAAGGAAACATTCAAACTATTCATCATTAGCATCTTAATAAACCAGAGAAGTAATCGACGGGTTACAGTTGCGTCATGTCAACTACAATGGCACCGAATGAATGATTCTCTTGTAGCTTTTTTACAGCTTCTTGCAACATCAACATGCCTATTTTTTCTATCTACCTATATGTAGTAGTGTACTTAAAAGTGGCAGTTTGTGTTTTTTGTAGTATTTAATAGTTTTTTATGAACCTCCTAATATACATAATTTGGCCCTTGAGGGTTTATACAGTATGACGTCCGTCTTTTATTAAGTTTAAATTGTATTATTTGACAATCTGCTACCAAACACATTTGTTATAGCAACATTTATACTACATACATAGCAATCTATGTAACGTCACAGCAAATTATGGTTGAAAAAGAAAAAACACATTGGACAACGAAAGAACCTACAGCGTCAAAAGAGGTGGAGAGGAAATTATCAAAAATTTTGGCACGGGAAAAAATCTGTACACGATTCTACAGTCCGGCGGAGATGAGACTGTGCAATAGAAAAGAAGGGCTTGAGACGAAATTCGACTACTGAAGACATGGCACCCACTGTCCCCATTTCAAGTTTCCTTTTCACCTATTGTAAAATGGCTTATAGATATGTTTCTAGAAATTAAGTTGTGCATACGTCTGTTTGTTGTTTAGTTTTACTTTTTTTTGCGTTTTTATTTTTTTGGAGAATCTACACTGTAGTTTAGGTGGAATCCTGGTTTTCAAGAAAATAACAAAAAAATAAAAATAAAATTCATGTCAAAACAATAAAACATTTGAAATTTCAAAACCTCCTTGTAAAAATGGATAATTTATATATATATATATATATATATATATAAGTTGCTTACGTTAAGAAAAAGAATATTTATACAATGTATTAAGAAAATGAAAAGATTTCAAAAAGGGACAACATACTGGATACGACAAGCAATCTCTAAAGCAATAAATACTACTGGTCCTAGCATTGTGACAGTTTGTATTGAATATCCCAAAAAAAAAAACACCCCCCCCCCCCAAAACTCCTCACCTACTTTGTATATCTGTCTTTAAACATGTCAACATAACAATTATGTATTTTTCTGTTGTACAGCTGAAAAAAAGCAAAACAATTGAACAAAAACAACCCCAAAAAAATTTATAAAAAAATTTGGCAGATTCACAAAGCTATACTCTACAACTTAAGTGTATTTAATTATCAATATTTAATCATAATAATTTCATTTTTTTTTTAGATAATGACAGGTCAAATATTGACCAATGAACTTTGATAAAGAATTAACGAAATTTTCAAAGCCATATCGCACAGAAAAAACAAGAGAATCAGAACACAGAATGAAAAAAGACAAGACGCGTGACAGACGGAGAGACAGACAGAGAAAGCTGGTTTAAAAAAACAACGAAGCTAGTCTATCGACTTGGTTACAAGTGAAAGGGGTTGCGTTGTGGCGGAGCTGGGCAGCAGAGAGTGGGAATGACACGCCGATGTAGGCCTGGAGGAGGCGGAGCCTGTGGGTCGGGACGACGACACGTCTGAGGGGTCCAAGGAGCCGTTGTGTGCCGAGCCGGACGTTTTGCCCGCCCCGGAGTTGTCCAACAAAGCTAAGGGTGGAGCCATGGAGAGGTGTTGGTGTTGGGACGACGAGAGCAGGGGGGGCGGTTTCATAGTCAGTGAGAGAGGTTGCATTTGTTCAGTCTGTGGTTTGGACTCTTTCGAGGACGGGGAGGGAGAGACAATGGAGGGGGAGGATGGGGGGGACTCTAGTAAGCTTCCGTCCGAAGAAGGAGGACTGGCACAGCTGCCTTCACCTTGAATGTAGCGAATGCACTTCTTTTTTCTCCTAAAAAAAAAAGAAAAAAAAAGAGGGGACACATTGAAGTTCTCTGTTTGAACCTTAGAGTGAACCACACAGAGCCATAACGTCCATTTAAATGCACATATCTTAAATTCGGGACACCCATGCTGATCTCATTAGCAACTTTTGGTGGACCCACTTTCAGACTCTGCATGAAAATGGACGCTAGAGCTGGACAAGATTAGGGTCAGACACGTCTCGCTCTCACACGGTGTCACACGATTACATGCAGAGAGGACAGGACAGTGGGAGGATGAGAGGAAGATGAACAGACGTAATGAGGAAGGAGGATGATGAAAGAGGTGAGGCCTACATCTCTCTTTGTTTTCCTTCGGCGGCGCAACGCAACTCCAAACAAAAGAACTCCACTCCGGTTTCGCAAACCGCGAGGGGATCCATTCGGTTTACACATCAGCTTGAATTATTACACTCCTCTTTCTCCCTTCTTTTTTCCTGTCTTTTTCCTTGCGTTCCTTCAGGGGAAGTTCAGATGGTGGGGTAAAAGGTTAGAGAGGAAGCGCTACTCTCAGCTTGCCCCTAAGACATGTGTGTGAGCGCTCTGCACAGAGGTCGTGGTGCCATGTTTGCATTTCTGCTCGGGTCAGGATCCTCCCTCGTCTACTACGCCTACGGCCAGCCATTCCAGCCAGCCACATCTCACCAGCGCCAAGCCAGCACGCCGTGAGGTAGGGGTAGAGTCTGAGAGAGAGAGAAATGGAGAGAGAGGGAAAACCTCAGTGTACCTTGCCCTACCTGACCTGACCAACCCTCCTTCCTCCCCAAAAACTCTCTTTATCCTGCCTAAAGGGCGAGCTCAGTGATGCAGCCGAGGCTAACTCCAAAAAGAGAAAAGAAAGAGCAACAAATACAGAGAGCAAAATAAAAGGGAATTAAATCAAAGACGGGGAGCTAGAGAGTTGCGGGAGAACCGGGATCAATTAACCGGCAACTTCTTTGTGGTTTCGTCATTAAAATATCAGCCAGGTAAGGATTGTTTCTCAAGTCATACCCCTGCCTGCTCTTATGCGTGTTGGTTTCAGACGAAAGTGCGAAAAAGACAGAGAGACAGTCAGGGAGGAAGATACACACTATGATGAAGAAAAATGACAAAAAGAGGACGGAAATCTTGTCACGGCCACTTAAACCCACTTTGTGTACGGTGGGCATGCACGACGCGCGACATGCAGCTGGAGGGATCCGCACAGAACAGACTTATTACAGAGGAGACATGGCACTTCAGGGTCAAAGATAGGTGAACAGAGGCAGAGATGTGTTCGCTTGATCTGCCTGCTACTCTGTGCTTTTGTGAGGAGGTCGGTTGTGAATTTAGGAACGGTTTGGGTCTGTCAAGTTGCTAACTGCCTGTCAAACTGCGGCAAATAAGCTAATATCCATTTTTTAAGAGCCATATTGATTCTAAGTATCTCACTGTGTTCCTTATTGATTTATGGGGCTCCGAGGGAATTTCTCCAGATGCATCTTTCAGGAAACAGAGCTGAGTGAGGTCTTTTAACCTTACAGCTCCCTAAATCAAGACGCCATTACCAGCGTTTCTCTCAGCACAGCCCAAAAAATGCACAGGCTGTTCCTCTGAATAACAAGAGGTGCTGATGAACGGCACTACCCCTCAAAAAATACAACTTCAGCAACTCCAGCTACACACATCTATACAAATAAAACAGTTACTGGCTAGCAAGATCGTTTTTTTTTCTCTCCAAGAAATTGCTAAATATTGCGTGGTTTCAACTTATAAAGTACGAACAACAACGCTGGTTATTTTTTTCCTCATGAGCGAATCAAATGAAAGAGATTCAAGAGTCTACAAATTAAAGATGAGAATTACTGTTGTGCTTTTTCAGACAATATTTAACTCATATAAAACATCTAAAAGAAAATTTAGCATTAAAGAAATTTCCTTTTTAGTTATACAATCATTCAATGAAATTGAAATATAAAATATGAAATATTAGTAGTATTTAAGTAAGTATTTGCTTTTCAGTTCCACCACTGGCAGGTATGGCAAATGTGAACTTTGGACCCTGCATCCAACATCCAACGCTCAGATTCACATAAATTCTAAAGTTGAGAAGCTTTCTGTTGTTCCTAAAGGAGGTCAGACTAGAGGGAGTGGATTTTGGAGAATCAGATGGATTTCTAAACTGGCAAGGATAAATGAAATTGGTGGAATGGGGATACAGTTGGGCAAGTAGAAAACGGACAGTGGAGTATCACAACAGCACACCATCTGATGTCCACGATGATGGAAGGGTGAAAAGGAAAGAGTGCACAAGCATGACACAGAAAAGGGTATTACTTAGCAGAAACAAATACCTACCATCAACATATTCCCAATTCAAAGACTGCTTGTATTAGAACAGAAAGACAAGAGGTTGGGACTGAATAAAGGGTTATAAGAGAGGAGCAGAGAAGGAAGAAGAAGGGGAGGAAAAAAAAGAGAGAGGGGGGATGAGATGGCATCACCCCAACCCTATCCTCCACAAAACAAGTGGCTACATCACACAGTTCTAACATAAGTGACCAGGGCAGAACAGTACAAAACAGCAGATTAGTTCCTTGGGCAGAAAAAAAAACAGTAGTACTAAATTATAATAATACAAAAAACTCAAAATAAAAAAAAGGTTTATGCTTGACTTGAAATTTTAACCACAATGCCTTTGTAATTCTTTTTTTGGCATTTTCTGCCCGAGGATTTCAATTCGTCTGAAGTGTTTCTACAGTCAGAAAAGGACAGAAGCAAGTAAGAAAGAAGTCTTTGTAAAACATATAAACTGTAACAAGGCCTCGGAGATCGAAGTAGGAAAATATAATCCATGGAAGAAGTTTCAAGAGAAGAAAAGTTGATTTTTGTCATCTTAAAATCATCATCATCATAATTTCGACGTTCTCCCCAGGAGTGGGGCTGGGAATATACCTGCAGGGTTTGCACCATAAACCCAGCTGGTCAAGCCCGAACAAGGCACGACACTTCTTAGGGGTATTTGCATCTGTTATCCATAGAGGAACATAAAACACAACAAAGAAAGAAAAAAAAGCACACGTCATTGGACACAAAGAGGCACGGAGCTAGAGCAAATGATTCAGCTTTGGACTTTGGTACCATGCCTCCCCAAAAACTTACCATGACTAGCTCATCTCAACCCCCTGGCCACACCCCTCCCCCTTAACAGAGGGAAATAAACCCCGCCTTTTTTATTTAACCCTGCCTCGTTTCAATTCAAAAAGGAGTTCTACATGAACTCCTTTTTCACACACTCACACAAAAACAACCACACAAACAACCCTTCCATCCCACCTAGCAATGAAAAATAAAACCCATTGCCCAGATTTGCAGAAGCTGATTGGCAGAGGAAGTGGCGTGGAGAGAATGCGAGGCTGAGAGAGCCAGAAAAGTGGGAGGAGGTACCAATGAGAGAGTTCCCCAGCTGTCACCTGCTCTAGCACACCTGCCGGCACACCAGATACACACCTGCATGGGCCACACCAGTTATTCTGCTGGTCGAGCCCGAAGCGTGCGCGACACTTCTTTGGGGCGCTCAGATCTGACGGGATGAAGAAGGGAAGAGGAAGCCAGCGCAGAGGAGAGATGAAATCAGAAAAGAGAGCGGAAAGAGAGATAAATTGAATCCAATGAATCTGACGAGCTCTGTAAAAGTCTTTTTTCCCCAACAGATGAATTTAAATAGTAGCAATCAAACGTGCAGTACTGCTTTTACAGTAATATTTGACCATATTTTGTTAGTAATACAAACAATAAGAAATGAAAAACTGCAAGAAACAAATATGAAAGTAAATGATGACAGAAATCAATACATCAGCACACAGTGCATGCCTTTCATAACCAAGGCTCTTTATGGGTAAATAAATGCTCGTTCGTTAAAAGGTAAGCGTTGCGGGATGCAGCAGATATGGATACAATGTCTGCCGGCCATTATTTGGCTGTTCTAGACTAGAGGAGGTGATAGGGACAGGTTGCTGAGGTAGCAGTAGCAGGGAGGAGCTATAGGAGGGAGGCGGAGCATTAGTTTAAGCCAGGGAAACACTACGAAGCTGCTTCATAAACAGGACTGGTCCACTTTCATCCACCTCAAACAGCCCACATAAGCACCAGGGCAAAGGTCATGGGTAGATGGGTCTTTGAGGAGGGTGAAGGCAGGTTGTAAGTGGAGCAGATCAAGAGGAGACAGGGCAAAGCCCGCAATCATGCTGGGGGCATGGAGGAGGCAGGGGCAGCTACTGAAGGCAGTTGAGTAGATTAAGGAGGTTTACCCTGATAACAACATCTTTGGTTATTTTGATCATATTTCCTATTCCTATAAACATATTGCAGCTGCATGCTTAGAGTTGACCAAATCAGGGATTTTTTTTAATACATAATAACATATGACTTTTAACATAGAAGCATCTTTGGATGAAAGTATGTGTATAATGAAAAATGGAGCAAAGGAAACAACTGAAAAGGAGCAAAATAAAGCAACATATTCTTCAAGAGAATTACTGAGCTTGGCAAATAAAAGATATATAAAGCAAATACGGAGTATTATTCATTAAAGAAAGATCATTATATATTTAATATACTGCACAAGCACAAATAAACAAATACATAAAGAACCAAAATAGGGGAAAAAAGCAAGTTAGTAATTTAAGACTCAAAATGACATTAGCACCTGTAATCGGAGGGAGTGAAAGGCAAGGGTTTGGAAAATATTCTCTGTGTTCTGGAAAAAAAAAGAACAAGATACAGAGGCCTTCAAAAGGTGTCCATGATGAAGAGAGACCGCAAATACATGACTCTGCATTCTTCCTGGACAATATCTCACAGTAATCAGCATCATAAAGAAGAACGGTCAAGTGAATCAAATCAATGTAATCAGCAAACCTCCTTAATTGAAAGATGTGGGTGAATTTAAAAAACAACCAAACAAAAATCTTTTTTAATATATATTATTACTATATAAACAGGTATATAAAAAAGCATGCAGCAGGCACAGCCCAAAGTTACAACCACAAAACACAGTGACACAAGCATGGGCGGCACATTCGGAGGCTGGCATTCAGTCACAAGGGTGATTAACTCTCACACTCTCAAAACATACATATCACAGTACGATAAATGCTGGAGGGGGGCTGGGCAGGGGGTGGGGGGCAGCTGGTGAGTCCTATTCCATTGGAACCTTAGTTATTATATTGCAGAAAAGACCAAGACATGAAATGAACAAGAGAGCCCAATGTTTTCACTGATTTATTTATTCATGTAAGAGCCTGAAGGTTTGAAATGCCACTGCAGGACAAAACAGAACTTTCCCTATCGTTCCCTTCGTCCTATTTCTCTGATTTTGTTTATTCCTTGTTTTCTCACTGCTGCTTAGTTTTCTTTTCATTGTGAAACGGTTGGAAGCTCTTGAGGTTTCTTTGAGCAGCTCGGTTTACTGGAGGGTAAGAGCAGAGCGAGAGAACTTTTATTGCATTTGTCCTCCTCAAAAATGGGCTACGGTTCTGCCGGACATGTCCGTGACTGCTGATTGCGTTGAGGCCAAGGTTGGGCCTGGACAGAGCGATTATCTTACTCTGGTTGAGGAACTTTGACTAGGCGAGTCAAGAAACGTGGTCAGACTCCAAGGAGAGTTGACAGGCTGGGCGGTGGGGCCGTTTGTCAGGCGCGAAACTCTGGCGAAACAGTAAACGTTGTGCTCATTCCCCATTTCTAGCGGCGGAGAGAGATGTCCTCTTTCATCAAAGCTGCGAGGCGTTTAGGCCCTGTGGTTATTTAATTACTCTGATCTCAGCTCGCCTTTCTCCTTTTAGGTGAACCAGTGGAATACTAATGGAAGCAGAGGAAAGTCGCACGGCACACAGGGAAAACCCAGACCTGACTGCACTGAGGAAAAGCTTGGTACAGTGGATAGAGCTAAAATAAATCTAAAGTCTTTCAGCTTGACTAAGTCTTGCTGGTCTGTTTTGCTGGTTTTAGAGTGGTTTTGGGAAGCCAAACCAGCAAAGACCAGCCAGCCGTTTTTTAGGTCTGTGTGCTTTAGTTTTCTCCAAAGGCTGTTGGGTAATCGTCACATGGTTTGTAAAATGCACATCTAGATGGCTTTAAACTACTCTGTGGCACCTGGGGAGGGAAGAAAAGATTGTTACTTGTTGAAAACTTAAAAACTTACATAGTTGTCTCGTGCTGACCAGCCGGGGTACAGCTGCATGTGAAGCTGTCGCTCTTTCCTGGCTAACTCGTAGTATTTGGCCTGCTCCTCTCGAGACAGAGCATGCCACTGCACATAGAGAAACACACACACAGACATCCGTCAAAACTGCGGCCATCGCAGAGGAAGAGACCACTGATATTTTAGGCTCAAACAACACGGAAGTGTTTCCATGAGCGGTCCAACCACCATGATTAAAATGTTCCCTTCCCCTGGCATTGTACTTTTACTCAATAGCAACATAAAGCAAGTTTACAATTATATAGAAAAAGAAATGTGAATAAGTAGTGGTTTTCCACCACAGACAACACTATAATCTGTGGTCTTAGTAGCTGAGACATTCTGCTGCCGCTCTGTATGATGTTTTAGTCTTGTAATGTGTGTGGCGCTCACCCTTCGGCCTAGGATCTGGTTGATAGCTGCGCTCTCTTTCAGTGTGCACTCTGCCACCACTTTGGCTCTCATTTCCTTCATGTAAAGCATGAATGCGTTCAGAGGTTTCTTTATGTGTGGCTGCTTCTTCTTTTCCTCCTCTTTTTTCGCATCCTGATGTTTCCTGCCAATGGGAGGGATCAGATGTTAGCGTATGCGTACCAACTTGTGACTTTATTGGATGAATAGAGAACTGAAAAGTGTAAAGTGAACTCACGAGCTGTTGAGGGAGCCGATGTCACTGTGAGAGGACTCCTGCTTGACGTTGTGCGTGACGATGGCTGGGTGGGGGATCCCTGTGGTGTGCAAACTGTGGTGGGGGGGCACCATGTGAGGAGGGAACCTGGAGGAGAAAAGACTGTGTAAATCGTCAGAGTGGACATGGGTGAAATGATGGATGGACACACACACATTCCTGAGCTAAAGACTTGACACATCACAGTGGTTATAAAGACAAAGCAGCAGTAACCTAATACAGTGTTTCCCAACCGGGGTGCCGCGGCACCCTGGGGTGCCGTCTGTCGAGAGCAGGGGTGCAGTGTAAAAAATCATTTTTAAATTTTTTTTTTAATATTTTTAAAATGCTAAAATGTTCAAAAAAGCATCTATTATATAATATCCATTTCTGATGTCGCCAATAATTAGAGATGCACCGAAAATCCAGCTCTAAAAAAAGGTTGGGAAACACTGACCTAATACATCTGTTATGTGGAAGAAAGGAAATGGCAATAAATGACAAATCCAAGATCTAGAACTCACAACATGACACAAAAAGCATTTTGGTTATAAAATGTGATGCATTTCAAAATCAAACAAAATAGATGGAATACATTTTGGGCAGGATATAAATTTACCCATGATGATTTGATTGGATCATAAAAAGTGGGTTATGATTAAATTATTGGTTAAAATTATTAATATAATTTTTCCACATAGCCACATAAGCAGAACAGAAAAGTTGTTTCAGAGCCAGAGAAACTGATTACATTTTTTTTTTTTTTACTTTTTTTCCTCCTTCAAAATAACAGACCAATAATTCATTAAAAAATAAGACAAAAAAAAAAAACCTTAAGAAAGCTATTAGGTTCCGCTTTTTTATGTATTTAACATCAAAATGTTTGGATTTGACTGCATCATAAAAAGTGGGATATAATGTTATTGGTTAATATTATTTCTTCCCACCCACATGTTCATTTCAGTGGTGGAGTAAAAACTGTATTTTGACAAAAGATCAAATATTATGCACATTATTTTCTTTCAAATAATGTGTTCTGATGACAAACATACCACAAACATTTATGAATAAATTAAATATGGTCAAATTGTTTTAACTGACATTTTTTATTCAAAATCATATTTTTGATTAGTGAGGTCAATTCTGGACCATTTAGGGTGGTCATTTTCTTCTCATTTATTTGCAATTTGATTATTTTCTTTAAATCAAACTAAAATGCCCCCTGGCTATTTTAAAGACATATCTATAATATCATCCCCCTAGCATTCTATAAAGATCAGTAGGAAAGCAGAATAAATTCCTGAGCGTACAAATGAACATATCTGTGCCTGAGTGTGTATGTGTATGTGTGTGTGTAGTGCATCCCATCTGTGTGTGGCTGTACACAAACTTGAGAGAAAGAATGGTGGATGATGAAAAAAAAAGAGAAGGAATAATTATTTTTTTCAAACAGCTCATTATCTGCTTGAGTGTGGCTATATGGCTTGGAGCCAGAATATAATGATGAGCGTAAACTCACAAGGAACAACTAGTTTCTGTTGGAGGTTCTCTCTGGGGACTGTGTTTCACCCTAATCTCTCTTCTCCTATTCTCTCTTCCCTTCATCCCTGACACATTTGTGTTTGTGCCATGTCATCCGGGCCACCCGTCTGCTTCTACTGAGGGGGGACCGGCGTTGTGGCTGCAGTGCCATGATCATTAGCCCCCACCTTTTTTCTTTCTCTTTCTGTCCTTGCATACTTGTTAAAATTTCCTCTGTTCCGCCGTCCAATTTTTTCTTCCTTCTCCTCCAGACTGTCCCATCAGCACCACCCCCACCCGTGCCGCTGTTGCCATAGCGAGGCCCAGGTTATGGTTTAAACATGACGGCCATCACTTTGAAGCACAGGGCATCATTCCGCTCATCAGCACGCAGCGGAGCCTGCCACCAATTTAGCCCTGCTGAGGGAAGAGCGAGACAGAGAGGTGTGCCGAGAAGGGCCCCTGCAGGGCCCAATGTCTCAATCTTCTTCCACACCAGCGGAGTGTCAGTGAGTGCCATTTAATTGCCAATCGGAGCGATGGCCTCGGCGCCTGTTTAATGTATAATGACCCCGCCGGTGTGTTCTGTCTCTCATTCACTTACTCTTCCTCTGCGGAAAAAGAAGGGATGGGAGCAGAGGTGCGGGTGGAGGAACATATCAAAGGGCAGGAACGGGCAGGGGCCAAGGGGCCTACACTTCCTCCCCCTGTCACCCGGGACAGCCGATACACCTGTACGACTCCAACCCCATTATCAAAACTATGTAGCTCATTTGCCAGATCCGAGTCCATGCCGTTCGCGATCTGAAATGTATTTTTTAGGAGGCTGGAGTGAAAAGCAGATCGCTACATGAAGCCCTGTGTGCTAACTGCATAATACATAGCAGCAGATAGGGCCATCAGAATCTCTCTGAGCTGAAGACAGGCACTGGAGAGCAACATATGGGCGTCTCTTAATCCTGAGGCCTCCTGGAGTTCTTGTCCACTGACTGTGAAAGAAGACAAAGCAAGACTTCCCTCTCCCTCTCTCTCGCCAGCTTTATTCACAGAAAAACCATAAACACAATTAATGAAGCCTTTTCCTGGTGCTCATTATTTTGCGCAGGAGGCCGATGACAGAGGACGTTGGTTTTGACACAAACATGCTAAAGCACCTTCCCGCCGCAGAGACACAAGACCACCACTTATTAATCTATGCTAATTCAATTACAGATGATCAAAATGCATTAGCTCTTCCCCAGCACATCACCAATCCCCCTAGCCCCCATTCAGAAGATTCAATTAGCCTGCACTGGAAATAGGATGATCACAATATAAAGGCCTCATTAGAATAGAATCAGCTGTCACTTAAGTGAAGGTCCAGTGCCGGAGCAGCGGCTGCAGACCCGCACGGGCTCCTGACGGCGGAGCAGGCCTAGGCAGGGTACAGTACAAATGACTTCTCTATGGAGCCGAGACCTCAAAACACACACACAGGTAGGCCTGTCGCAATAATCAATATATCGACTTATCGCGCAATATATGTACATGACCTCAATCATTTTTGGTGACGCAATATATCGCCCATTATATTTACTTAAAAATTAATGTCTCTATGTTTTGTACATTGCATTCCACTTGCGCCTGTGTCTTTTGCAGGTTCTCGTACATAACGTGGTATAGTCATTAGATGCTAGTTCAAATTTAAAAAAAATGCTTCTACAAAAAAAGTTTTATCTGCAGATATGGCCTTGTTTAGGGATCTGTGCCTTTGTGCGTACGGACATCTGACTGCTGAGTAGTGATTGTGTTTTTCAGCAATAGTGTGCACCCTTCATTTACAGAGAAAAGAAGGTCAGGGAAAAATCTCTAGATGGAAAAATCTCCATACAAGGATTTTGTGCATTTTTCTTTTTTTCTACTTGTTACTTTGCACTTTTTGTTAGAAAATGTTTATTTACTATTTATTCAGGTTTTTTAAGGTATCTAATATTTTGATACTTAATTTCCATTATCTAAATATTCTTAAAAATTAAAAGTTTGTTGTCATTTGGAAGTGTGTAGGCCTTCTTGCATTATTATGCCGTTACATTATGATTATATATTCAGTGGCATAAAATGGTGTTTAAAATGACAATAATATCGCTTATCGCAATTATTTCTGGGGCAATATATCGCACAACAAAAAGTTGTTATCGTGACAGGCCTACACACAGGGTGAAAGCTGTTGGTGTCAAATGTGTAAGGCCTTGGTTTCAGAGCCAGCTGTAATAAAACAGACCTTTAAGAGTCAGGACTGGCTGCAAAGACCCTGGTGTCATAAGCAGAGCAGCAGCCAATGCACTCGGATCATCACTGCAGAGCTAAATATTGTGTTTCAGAGCTGTTATGTTTGGCCTGACCACTTTAAACTGTGTGATGATGATGAAAATATACTAGATGCAAGTGCGAGATTGGGCCTCATTTACTCACGCAAGCAGAATGAATGTTAATTGTTTGTTAGAACATTCTTGTGTGAATTTGCTGCATTCACTAAGATAATTTACTTTATGTTTTATTATTTACTTATGAATAATTTTTTTCTGCTCATGTTTCTTGAAGTAATTTGCAGTTCAAGAATGAACTGTTCATTAGTTATTCTTATGTAAAAAAAATTTTTGCATTTAATGAGTTGTTTTTCGTTAAGATTTTACAAATGATTTTACTGAAATTCGTTCTGCTCATTTCATGAATGAATTGTTTGTAAAACATATTGTGCATAAATGTGTCAATGTACTTAAGAGTGAACTGTTTGTAAAGCAATTTACTAGATTTGTTGCATCAATGAGAACGAATCTAGAAAAAATATTTTACGAGTGATATACACAAAAATTAATTCTGCTCGTTTGATTAAATATTTTTTCTTTTTCAAGAATACATTTTTCATAAGTATAGTTTGTACACAAAAATGTATAATTACGCAAGAATAGTTTGGCGAATAATTTACACATTCGTTTCTGCTTTTTTAATGAACGAACTGTTCATCAAATCATTCTCAAGTAAATTTGACATATTTATGCAACAATTTATGCAGGAATGACACAAATTTTGCACAATTCACACAGATTTGTTTCCACTTGTGTTTCATGAATGAGAGCCCAATGTTTGAGCATGTTAAATATCCTAATTTCCTGAACAGAAACTCTCTCTGAGCTCTGAGTATCTTCTCCAAAGCTTTTCTCCCCTCAAAAATGCTCAAACCCAGGCCAGTGTTTAAGGCGCACAAACCGCCCCCGTTCTTGCTTCCATGCTCACATTTATCCATCAACGTCTGCTGGTCCAAGCTCACCAGGCCTCCAGATCTGCTTTTCCAATCACACTGCAATTAAACAGGAGTTTGTCCCTGTCTGGAGACACAGGCTGGGCTTGAGTTGGTCTCCATTTCTCGAAACTATAAACCAGATCTGCCTCTGTGCCTCTCTGGCTAGCCTCAGCACTACCACCATCATCATCATCGTCACATTCATCATCATTGCGAAAAGAGTATCATATGTTTCAGATTAGGGGGGAAAGGCTGAGTAAATGCAGAAGGTGACCACCATATGAAGCTGTTTGCATCTCACTTTTATGTTTAAATGACATTAAAGCAATAAAGCAAACAGAGATTTGTCATCTACAGCAAACACCTCCCACTTCTCACATAACAGATGAGGAACAGTCACAAGGGAGCAATCACTGTGACAGTTAAAACAAACATACGCTCACACACATATCCCACAATCCCCCCACACACACAACCATTATTGCTCTCTTGGGGACATTTGTGTCCAAATTGCCACTTGAACCAGACCCCAAGAGCCCACACAAAGCTCTCGCTCAGAGTCCAACAACGGCCCTCGAAATCTGCAGCATTTTACGAAGAGATTCTTTACTTCTGCATGTGACTGTAGCTAAATTGACAGTCCTCTTGTTCTCTGCCATTCAGTCGGGGTAAACGTTCTTTAGGGGTCTCATTATAAAATGATAACAATAATTAATATCTGAATACGTAGCGGATCGCATGGGACCGTCTTATTGAACACTGAGGCGAGAGCTGTCTCTCCTTAAGGGAGAAGTTTGCAGAGGTTTTGACACGCTCGCGTTCTCAGCGAGTCGGCCGTCCCAAGGCTCAACTCACCTTGACATGGACGCATTGACAGTGAGGGCAGTTGGGTAGGGGTGTCTGAAACCTCCCGTCGTGATTGGGTAAACTGGTTGACCTTGCCTAGGAAAAGAAGAAAGGAAGAGAGGTAAAGGAAGGGATGAAAAAAGAGGGGAAAAAAGCACTCTCTATGCAGGCGGCTTTATTCTCATTTGATCAGAACAAAAATCTAGGGGATTGCAGAGCGCAGATCAAAGGGAGGCAAACTCTGAACAATTTGAATGCCACAAATCTGATAGGAATGGCTAATTAAATTTCATAACCCTGCGCTTGGTGTCGATGGAGGCCCCTCTCCCTGAGCTGAAACTAGGTGTTTTGTTGTGCTAATTAAAGATGAAGCACCGGCCCCTTTAATGGAGCCATCACGCTAATTGAGGTCTACACATCCAAAGACAAACAATAATGAATGTAAATTTATACCAAAATAAAGTGCAGAGAATCAAAGGGCCGTGGCTGCGCTTGGGGCATCTCTCGGTATTTAGATCGCGGTGAGAAAACATTAAATTAACAGAGCTTAATTTGTAGCCTTTTGTCATATTAACAAGTGTTGACAAGGGTTACCAGGGGAGAGCCCCCGTGTGGAATTGTGGGTAAAATACTGGCAATCACAGTTCATTACTCTAATTGGACAATACAGAGACATGCAAAATAGCATTTGCCACAAAGAGGCAATTTAGAGTTTAGGGGTTGAAGAAAGCCATGGGTGCATTGCTGTGGGCCCCAGCGGTGCCTTTCCAGAATGTATAAACTGTACAGAGGTTAAGAGTTAGCTTTTGTGGTATGTGATGGCCGAAGTCTCAAACTGCATCTTAAATACCCAGAGGCCCACAGCAAAGTGGACAGAGGCCTGGCGAATATAAAATACACAATAACAAAATGCAACATATTTGAACAAATGCAGTCTTATGAATGTCATAATATATAAAGTTGGATTCCTCAAAAAAAAAATCTGTGATTCATAATCAAATTGAACCCTAGAAATATAAAAGCTGTAAAATAAAATAAACACTAATAAAATTGTAATATTTTATTTTAATCAAATATTTTATTCAAAATGTAAATGTTCTGGTATATATTAAAATATACATTAAATAAAAAAGAATTATATTCAAAATTAATTAATTAAAAGCATTTTTAAGATCTCAGACTGGACCCCACTGTACATCATGTTATAACACCACAAAAAAATAAGCACTAAAGTTTCAAAGGATTAATAATAATCACAAAGATGAAAGAAGAGGAATAAAACTGGGCTGCTTACTGTGGTACTAACCATCCTAGCGGATGGGGAATCTGGCCTACAGTGCCAGGTGACAGAGGGTAGTAGGGGGATATATCTGAAGGATGTGGAGGCCTTGGGATTCCTGCAAGAGACAAAAAATGCAAAGAAAAGAATGAAGAGAGAGAGAGAGAGAGAGATGTGTGTGTGTGAACGGTGTGCAAATGTTTCTGCTCTTGTCCTGACACAGAAATTCCCCGATGAAGTTTAAGTGTTAAATTTATCCTTTGTGAGATACACAATTGAACAAAGTCAACATCAGAGGGAGGTGGGAGAGGGAGGAGGTTGAGCTCACATGCACAGCTCTAAATCACACGTTCTGATCAAAGCTTGTGGAGGCAGCCACGATGTTGTATGGCACACGGGAGAGAGGAGAAAAAATACAGAGCCCTGTCACATTTGTCTATCGAATCAGAGGATTAACAACGGGCGATAATTGAGGTTCACAAGTCAACAATGCAAACACTGCGGCACGTGTTCAGAGAGACTGACACATTTGCGGTGGATATCTGTTCAAGTGTGGAAACAGTCCCAATATTGGTTTTAGAGTTTAACGACCAATTAACTACATTATTAACATTACATGTGGTGGGGAGATGGTTTACAATAGCATAAGTTAGCATAGAATATCTTACAACTTTTCACAAGAGCTTTTAGCAACTATGTGAATGACAAAATAAACATCTAGCTAACAAACTAGCTGACTTTGGACTGACTCAATGTACTTCCACTTAGACTACTTGATACTAGTTTGCCTCAAAATCTACTGGTTCAGTAAAAATAAAAACTCAACAAAAGTAGTCATTCTAAAGGTAAATGACTAAAACGAGTGTAAAAATTCTGCTTGATACTGCAGTGCTGGCTAATGCTAGCTGCGCAGGAGGAGGAAAACAATGCCTCCACAGCACATTGGCACTGCGTACAGCGGTCTTAATACAATTTGTTAATTAATTAAACTCTAAACTCAATTAAGCGAGCCATTAAGCAGCACATTAAACAGTCTCTGAGTCCTTAAAGAGGCCCTTAGTGATAAGGTCTGTTATGAGAGCAGAAAAAGACCTCTTAAAGTCAGCATGAAAGGTTGTTGACAGCTTTGAAGAGCAGCTGTTCGACTGTATAGTGTTTACAAAATGCCTCTCTGTGCAATAATCTGATTCTGAAACATACCACCAAATGACATTATATCACAGCTGAACAGAAATCTTTTTGTTTTGAGATGAGAATCCTGACAGATAAAACATAAGCCTTCAAATCGAGTTTCCCGGTAAACCTCCTGTTCATACAGTTTTCATCCTGGTTGGGAAATCTAGACTCCACAATTGTCCGATTTGTATGTCATCAAAACGGGGCAAAAACTGAGATTTTGTTTCTCAGAATCAGAAAAAGAATTGCTTCGGGATCCCGCAGTTAAGTAACAGAGGTCCCCGGCTACATCTCCCAGAAGTCAAGTGGCTCCACAGGCTTAACTGACCCAGGTCAACAGCTCCATCTCAACATGGCACACGAAAGGAGAGGTGCAATCTTGGCCCTGAGCCAAGACAACTCTGAAACGCTCTGATGCATCTTACCAGGTAGCTGTGAATGCAGTAGTACAGACTGGCGAGATCACACAGTGTAACCGTGACAGCGCCTGAATAGGTTAGGCTAGTTAACAGGCCTGAAGGTTAGCCTTGGGTTTCGTCCTGCCTGTTTTGAAATTCATGAATGTAAAGGAAGACGTGCATGCATATGTACCTGTTTTGGGGTCCACGTCTGCCTGTAGATGTGGAGGGGGGTTCCCAGGCGTGAAGTGCTCATTGCTGTAGGTGATCAGAGGTGTGAGCGGGTGCACATGGTGAGGGTGCTGTACCACGGGGACCTTATTAGACTGGCAAGAAACAGAAAAAGAGAGGGAAGGGGGTGGGAAGAAGAAGAAGCTGTTAATACATGTTTGGGTTGAGGCAGAAACACACTGGCGCCTCGATTTCAACTATGCATCCATCACAAACCACAAGCCCATTCTCAGAACAGTGTGGTTTGTAATTAAAAACACTTTCAGAGGTACACAATATTGATTCAAACAGCCATTGGATACATAAAAGCCTGATTGCATTACGTGTCTCTGACCCAAAAAGCATCACGTTTACAATCACAGAAACCACCTAATAAACCAAATGACAGTCATTCTAAGCACACTCTTGCTCTCCCTCCTTTTTCTCTGGGTTACCCACATCTCGCGCTCCTACCCCTTCCTCTTCCTTCAGGGTCTGGTTTTGGAAAGGGTTTGCATTATAAAAGATAGGAGAGGAGGGGTGGAGGGGAAGAGAGAAAATCCATTTCTGCATTTTGGTCACATTGGTTTTAGCTATGTAATCTGCTCTTTGTGTTCTTAAGTGGCACAGGCCCCATTTTCAATTACCCAAGATTACAGCCGAGCAGAGGGGTGCTGAGGCATAGCCTGGCATTAGTGTATTCCCAGTACACGCGACCTAACCAGATTACTGCCGTGCCGTAGATTTGACGGGCCACACGTGGACTGGGATTTGCTTCCGTAGACGCTGCATAAATTGGCGCTAACCGAGCCGACTGACAGGAAAAAATCTCACACCCTGAGTTGTTCACATGCATGCGGGTTTTGAGGCGCCCACGTGTCTGATTGACAGCTGTGCATGTCCCGCAGCACATTCGAGGGAATGGAAAAGGGCACATAGGGGCCACTGTCTTTATTTAAAACGTGCCAAATTAAATCCAGCACTTGAGATGTTGTTAAAAAAGCAATGGTGTTGGATGTCAGGACATGATTTATAAAAGCAGAGGTGAGCCATCCTTTTGTCAGGACTAAAATATCTAAGCTCTGAGAATAGGAAGGACACCAGGGCCCAGGCCTGAGAGGTTGAAGTATCCATCCAGGGACTCTAAACGTGGAGAAAGAGGCACAGAGAGAGGCCGCTTTCAGCACTGGGGCGTTCCGTTCTGCCATACTCCCAATGAAAGATTAATGAACTGAACAGAGCTGCTTGGGGAAAGAAAAGGGGCTCTGGGGATGTTTTTGGGGCCCCTGAGAGCAGAAAACAGCATGGAGACAGAAAGAGAAATGCGAAAAAGGAAAGCGCGAGGCCACAGAGAAAAACAACTCGAGAGATAAGATATAAAAATACATTTTAAAAAGAAAGACCTCTCATCAGAAAAACAGACGAGATGATGACAGCTGCCAAACAAGGCTGACGAGTTTGCCATTAAAGGAATGGTGCTGCACACTCCTCCACCACGAGCTACCCCATAACCTCCCCCTCAGTAATGATGTGAAAGAATGTTGTCAATTCTCCCTGCGCTGAAAGGCTTTAGTAGCCATTTAAATGAGTTCTTTTGTCCAAGGCCTCTCCATTGAGGGACAGCTCCAAATGGCTGTCCACTGCGGCCACATTCACCCAGAGACAAGCCAAATGATTTACATCACAGTCACTGCGTCTAACAGAACCCCTTTCAAACGCCACATAGCCACACGAATAATAGCTGGGCATCCCGTTTAACTGGCTTCTAGGGAGCGCAGCACGCTATCGCAGTTCGCTACAGTAGCGTTTCTGCCCGCTTCTCTACGTGAACAGATCAGTAAGACCCTAAGAAGAAAAAAGGAGGTAGATTGGAATAGCTAGAAATGGAATTTCTTGAACTTTTATTCTTCACATTGGGAGACCCGCGCCTGCTAGAAAGACTACTTAAAACATGGACCTGCGTTTAGGCCTCATTTTAAAACATGCAAGCACTTTTCTGTTTGGTTTTTCTTTTTTGTCATGACGCCTTCCGGACAAGACACACAGCGGGACAAAAATAACATGGCGCAATGGATAATCACCATACAAAAACACATTCTTTAAACAATTTCCCTTCTGAGTGCTATTCAAGTCCATTAAGAGTTCAGTCTTAAGAAAAGCTTCACAATAAATCTGGCTCTATTGACCCCGTTGCTATTGTACGATGGCTTTACCATGTTCTTCCAGACATAGCTAATTGTCTCTAGCATCTCAGGGGAGTGAAGAAGACCACCTACGTATGCGCCTGTGCATACCCGCGGACAACCACATACTGTCGGGCGCTAACAATCGCAGAATAGGCGCTCTTTAAAACCCTACTTCTAAACAACTCATTGAGTTTAGAGACAGACACACGGAGGTCCAGCGAGACGCACAATAAACCCACACAAGGAACACAAAGAAAATATGTGGCCGTCTTTTTCCCTATTATGTGCAAAGAAAGCGGGCTACTTCCTGTTTAATAGTTTGCCAATACCTCCCACCACAACCATCACAACTACACAGAGGAAAAAATGCTAAAGGACTAATTCACATAACCAGCTAAATAATAATAATGATAATATCAAAAAATTAAAACTAGATTTCCAAATGTGGTAATTTCCTGAAAAAAAACAGCAGTTTGTAGATGTATTTTGGTAAGGTAAATAAATATAAAATACTCTTAATATGTGTCAACAAAATCTGTCTGCATAGCCATTGATTGTGTGAGTAAATCTGTAGACAAACGTACCCTCCTCCGAACCAATAAGATTGACAGTTTCTGCTTGGGGTCGTGACCCCTAGTGGTGGTCTTACAAAAGCCTGGCCTGTTTTAATGGAGAGGCCATGGAGAGGCCTGTTTGTCTTAGAAGAGCATGTCACACTCATTTTGATGCAGCGTCTATCAAATCCTGTCCTTCACTCTCTCTTCCTCTCTCGTTTCAAACCAAGTTATGTGCACACACACTCACACACACATGCACTCACCCTTCTGACATCTTTAGATAAGTCTTCAGACAGTTTTTTACTTTTCATGATTCTGATCACAAGAATCACTTTTTATACTCACAAAATACACACTGTCAAATAAGAGAAAGAATATATCAGGGATCCGAATTCCTTTTGAGCAACAAATTGCCATGATCATTTTAGTAACAATTTGCAGCAAATTTTAATTAGTAGTAGTAGTAGTAGTAGTAGTAGTAGTAGTAGTAGTGGTAGTAGTATTATATACATATAATTATTCTTATTTGTATCATTTATATATCGATTTTCACAATACTCAAGGCCACTTTACAACAAAGCACAAATACTCAAGGGTAAGCTTTACAACAAAGCAAATAAATAAATAAATAATTACATACATAAATATTTGTAAAATATTTAAACAATAATTAAAAAATAATAATTTCATAAAGACTGTAGCGGTTTTTTTTGACAATGAAATATTTAAGAGCAGAACATAGTTATAAAAATATATATTTACTATATAAATTTCCATAATAAATTATAATTTAAATAAATCATAAAAATTCTAATTTAAAATGTTTAGCTTAATATGTAGGAGAATCCTGATATTTAGTTAATCTTATTTAAAAAAATCATTTAATAGAGACTGGGAGTTTTTTTTAGACTTAAATATTTAAGAGCAGATCGTAGTTATAAAAATATACATTTACTATATACATTTCCATAATAAATCATAATTTCAATAAATCATAATTAAAAATGTACAATTTATAATGTAAAAGAACTCTGATACAAAGTAAATCTTACATCAGCTGATTATTAGAAAAAAATTGCGATACTTAGTTATATTAGTGGTATCTGGTATCTGTGAGTGGCCTGTGGAAGAGATACAAGGAAAAAGAGGAAGACAGAGGGCCGGACAGCAGCAGGAAAAAGCTGTTGGCGCTGCATTTCCGCTTGGTGGCACCTTGCAGAGCAATTTAAAGACAAAATGTGAAGGTTGCGACCTTGTGGCCCCTGAGGGCCCGAGCGCCTCTCTCCGCTTTACGGCATGATATGATGAGTTGTCACTGGAGCTTGTGGGCTCTAATGAGCTGTAGTGGGGCTGGGGTGGGGGGGACACGCAGGGGGTGTGACATCCTCATGATGGATAGAGGGGCTCTCAGGCCTGCGAAATTCCAGAGCAAGCAGAAAAAGCTGCCAAGAACTTGAACTCGAGAAGTGTACGTGCCAGTGGCTCGCATCCAAGCACAGTGGACACAATGCAGAAAACATCCACGCTTGTTTATGTATCGGAATGTTCAAATGAGCAAGAAATAGATGCAGCCAAATCCACGCAGCCAATGCGTGTCGTTCAGAAAAGAAAGCTCGAAATGAGAACTTCAAAAGAATATGGAACTATGATGATGTCACCGTCACTATAACAACCCTCATCCGCCCACCGCTCACACAAACGGATACAAACAAAACAAATGCCTAACTTTGACACTCTACGAAAATATAAATAGCAACTTCCCTCCTCTGTTCTCAATACAGAAAAACATAGTGCCAATTCTTTACTTCCTTAATATAAAAACAATTATGATAAAGAAAACTGTAAATCAAATTGGTTAAAAAAAAAACAAGAAAACATGTAATATTGCTTCTAATGAAATTGAAAACAACATAAAGGTGCAGGATTATTTAATGAATAATTATTGATGCATTTTAAGCATCAAGTAAATGAAATAATTGTTTTTTGTTAATTTAAAGCAATAAAGAAAAATTAAATAACAACCAAACTAATTTTCTTAAATGCAAATTTCAAATCTTAAACATCAAAGCCACAGCCTAAAAATAAGCACCAACAATACTTATGCTATATTCCTTCTGTTCATATATTATGACTTCCCTTCCAAACCCTCAACCCTGTCATCAGACATTTTTTTAATGCCATATCCATCTATCTATCTCTTAGTTCTTCCTTATGAAACACACACACACACACACACTCACAGACATCTTAAGCCACTCTGAGGCAGATAAAATGACATCCTTTACCACAGTCCTAGCACTGAGTATGTCTAACAAAAGAAGAAAGAAGATTTTAAAAGGGCCACAGGAGTGTGAAAACAGCGTGTGTATTAGC